AATGAGTATGCATGATAAAAACAGGCATGAGTATGTATAAGACAATAATGAGTGTGCATAATAAAACAACAATGTATGCAAGAATAAAACATGCATGATTATGCATGAGTATGCGTTATGACATATGTATGAGTATTCATTATAAAACATGCATAAGTGTGCATTATAAAACATGTATGAATATGTATGAGAATGGATGATAAAGCATGCATGTGTATGCATAATAATACATGCATAAGAATGCATTATAAAACATGCACAGTATGTATGCATATGCATCATAAAACATGATTGAGTATATATGAATATGCATTATAAAATATAAATGAGTATGTATGAGGATGCGTAATAAAACATGCATAAGAATGCATTATAAAACATGCATAATATGTATGCATATGCATCATAAAACATACTTGAGTATATATAAATATGTATTATAAAATATATATGAGCACGTAGGCGTATTCATTATAGTACATGCATATGTATGCATTATAAAACATGTCTAAAGTATGTATGAGTATGCATTATAAAACGTGTGCGTATGTGTATGCATCATAAAACATGCATGAGTATGTATGAGTATGGATGATAAAACATGCATGAGTATGGATGAGTATGGATGATAAAGCATGCATGAGTATGTATGGGTATGCATAATAAAACATGCTTGAGTATATATGAATATGCATTATAAAATATATATGAGTATGTATGAGTATTCATTATACAACATGCATAAGTATGCACTGTAAAACATGTATGTATTCATCATAAAACATGCATTATTTCTTTGTATGAGTATGCATTATAAATTGTGTGCATGTGATAAAACATGTAAGAGTATGCATAATAAAACATGAATAAGGATGGATTATAAAACATGCATGAATATGTGTGAGTACAAATGATAAAACATGCATGAGTATGCATTAGTATGTATAATAAAACATGCATGAGTATGCATGATAAAACATGCATGATGATGCATTAAAAAATGCATGAATATGCATGGATGTGGATGATAAATCATGCATAAATATGCATGAGGATGCAGAAAGTATGCATATAAAGTATCATGCCTCGCATTTAAATCCTATTATGAAACCTATTGACTCATGTGTGTCTCTTCTGTCAGTGATCACCGCTTCATCCACACGGGAGTATGTGATCAGTCTACAGGACGGTTCGACCCAAAGCCAAAGCTACAAATTCAAAGAGACCATCACTTTTCAGGGCTGCCAGCACGATGAAGCTGTCAGAGCTGTGCCGTCCACACAGATGCTCAGCGTCGACCAAGTGTTCGTCATGTACGATATGGGCGAACAGCTCTTGCGTTACGCCATGACTAACAAGATTGGAGACATCAACGGTGAGGGCAGATCTGGAAAAATATTTTCCCTAGGGCTGCACGATGTATAGTATTTTAATCATGACCACGATTTCCGCTTCTCTTAATTAATTAAACATAATTTGACTTATTTATCCTGGAAATGTTTCAATTGACATTTGCATTATCGTGCATTAGTAACAATCCTCCACAAGCTTTCATGCTTGCAGTTGCCAGATGTTAAATTGAAAAATTTTTCTGCCAAGAGTTTTACTTACTCTTCCCAATCTGGCAACCATGAACCAGAATTGTGAG